GTTATAAGTGCGTTTTTCTAACAATCATTTAACGTCACTAGTAGACTAAAAACGTTGACTAATTTTGCTATCACTTTATTTGAGCAATGATTAGCTATCTAATCATGTAATCAGTCTTCATTTGGACTCAAGTTGGACACTTGACGAATGTATCGGAAGGAATTATAGTGATAATATCTAAAGCTATAATAATATTGTAGGTTGTACTATCTTGAAATTGTATTGGTTATTTCTGCATTACTGTAAAGTAATTTCTTAGCCGTTGATTTGCAAAAAGCGCAAATCTAAAATTGCGTTTGAGGTATTCCTCAAAAAGAGCCAATTCCACTATTTTCCAAGCTATTGCTTAGATTGTGGAATTGGCTCTCGTGAATAAATGGTGACAAGTGGGTCTTTGTTTTCTTGATGGTTGAAAACCATAGGTATCTAGTTCGGAGAGAAAGGTCTGGATATGAGATTCTTACTTCATTAAAAACCTCCTCGACGGCCATCATCAGCACCTGTTAGGGGCACCGCGTCCTCTCTAACTCTCTAATACTCTCTATATACCAACCTATGAACCCCCACGGTACAACACCTTTCACGGCAGACCCTTAGGGTTTACTGTGACTCCCTTAAGTCGAAGATTCGAAGGTCCTACAATTCATGATAAAAAAGCGTGAATCGTGTTATTTAGACCTTTATATTTATCAGAGACATTGGAGAACTTACTTTTTTTAAAAGAGTAACGAATGGAGTTTCTTTCTCGTTCTTGTCCATTCGTATCTACATTTTGGAATGAGCACCTAGCTTCACTGACGGATTGACTGACAGACTATTATTTATTTTGTATTTGTTGACGTTTCAAAAGTACCAAATTATGGTTAAATTGAAATAAATGCTTTGACTTTGACTTTGACTTTATATTCGAGTTAGTGGTCTACTAATTACAGCCACAAGCCGATACATACTTTGAATACTTCCTCCTTCTCAATCAATATCTGACATAGAATAAACAAAGTTGACCTATAACTTGTTGATAAGTAGTTATGTGACAGACAGACGGACAAGCCCCCTCGATATGATTAGTTGTAATTGAACGGGCGCCATGCAGGGAGCTCTATTAACCAGCCGATATCAAGTTGTCAAAGCTTTCTTTCTGTTGTAGCTTATTTATATTCGTTTAAGCTTGTAAAGTTACATGTAATTTCTAAGCTTATTTAGACACCACTAACAAATAGTCAAGGAAAACATCGAGAGGAAACCTTGGCTTATAATTTTCAATTATAAATTTGAAATCGCCAACTCACATTTAGCAAGCGTGGTGATTACTCAAACCTTCTCCGTGTGAGAGGAGGCTTTTGGTCTGCAGTGGCCACTTATAGGCTGTTGATGATAATGAGCTTAGGAAGAACGTATCTCAGACTAAAGAATTAGGGTTTTTGTCTATTAAGTTAAACTATATTGGACTTAAAATGATGTACCATGTAAGTATATAATAAACACATATTGTACCATATATTTAGGCGGACTTTATACTATATGCAATTGGTTTACTAGTCAACTTTAGGAAATCAGTAAAAGTTAAGTAATATTGGTTTATTTTTCAAAGATCTCATTGTAGCTCAATGAATTGATGACCGAATACAGCTTGCTTGATAATCGTAATAGTTCAAAAAAACACAATAAGGATTTGTTGAATTACACGTGATAAAAACAGAAGACAAGATAAATTAATACTAATTATTTCTTTAGCACTTGTAATTGTAATCGAACTCCCAGTCTCAAGTCAGCGGGTGTCAGTGTCACCCGAGACACATCTACCGTCCGCGCTATAAATAGACAAGGAAAACTATATTTAAATCAACACACTACGAGTTAAACAAATGGACAATCTTTAGAATCATATTCATTAGTACATTTTTAAATAAAAATAATGTATGTCGATGTAAATGCGACTACCGAGAAGTTTCAAGTGTCAATTATCAAATTGGTATTAGGATAAGACCACATTTTTGGTTTAGGAAAATTTTCAGTAATAGCATGATGCCTAGAATTGTACTTAGTGTATGTCTGTAGTTGATATTATATAGGGTTGATGACAGGATATGAAAATTAAAAATATATTTAATTAGTCAGTAAGTTAGGCAATGAAAATATATTAGACACGTGTTTTTTTATTTTGTCGTAAAATAAAATAATACTTAGATAAAACGAATCAAAGTTTAGGAGTGGGGGCTAAAACGTCATTTCTACGTATAAAATGTAAATAGAATTGACGTCACGCGACATTTCAAATCAATATATCGTCGAAAGTATTCATTTCTGTAAGAAAATAAAAAATACGTGTCTAATGATTTAAAATAATCTACCAGACGGACATTAAAATAAAAATTAGGCATCTATAATGTAGGTTGGTTAACATAGCACTCATACCAAAACACGAAAAGTGAGTGTCTCTTAAAATAACTTTCGCTATCATTCCAAAGAAAAAGAGGGGTGACGATTGTGTAGTGGTCATTATCATGGTTTATAACTTTCTTAGAAGTGATGAATGAGAAGGGATAAAAATAAGAGAGTAATTAATCCAAATTTTGATGGATGGAAGAGGAACTATATAAGGGGACTATAATAAAGATGGATGGATTGTATGAGGACTGATGTGAAAGCAAAGGGAATAAATACACGATATGGAAAAAGAAGGCATATTGTGGTGATCTTAACTAACTTTTCTTATAGTATAAGCCGGTAAACGAGCAGACGGATTATCTGATGGTAAGCAATCGCGTTGGCTTTGGACGGGAGTGCCAGAGGTACAAGTGCGTTACCGGTCTTTTAGAGATAAGAAATTTAAGGATTGTTGGGGTTTCAGTTAAAACTTGGGATAAAAGTACTACTAAGAGGAAAAACGTATGCAATTCTTTAATTTATAGAACAGTTATTGTGAAAACTCTATTCACAGTATCCAAATCAACAGACAGACTCAGACACAGACCGTAAATCTTCAACATTCGTAAAGTAACGCCAGTTTATTTGTTTGAACTTGTGTATCAATGTTGAGTGCTATATTGTATGCCAATACACTAGCTAATGTAGATTTGTGTGGCATTTTGACTAAATTACTACATGTTTCAGGGTCAATAAGATCTATAGCTACAACTTCATGTTCAATCTTTGCTATTTTTAGTCCAGACTCATTATTGGCTAAGTTAATTAATTTGCGATATTTTTGGTTTGTTTGTTTTGTATTAGATTTTGAGCTCGATTTATCAAATTGTTCAAAGTTTTCTTCTGTTATATGTTGATAATCACGACAAGATCATAGATACTGGTCTTAGTTTAGAGTATAAACTTTGGCAGTCTGGTTAAAGATATTAAGATCGCAAATTGCGACAGTCGGTCAAAGACACATTCCAATCGCAATTGCAAATTCAAAAGATTTTTTATGGGTGAATTGCAAAAATAAAGGGTTTATTAAGAAAGAGGGATGGTTCAGGGAAGTTACGTTGTATAAATAAATAAAATTATTAAAGCAACCTTTCCAATATATTGTTCTGTTATCATTTTCAAGAAGGGTTTTTTAATGTACGTGTCTGCAGTCATTTTGGGTTAGCCATCATTTAATAATTTCAACAGATATTATTATTTCTGTTGCTTTTGTTGTGGGTATTTTGTATTATCACTTGCTCTTTATTTTTGGTCTCCATTTTCTAGCAGCTTTAGTATTGCACCATATCATTTTCCATCATGTAAAGTTGTTTAATTAGCTAAAGTAAATACCTCTATGAACTCATTGTACGCTTAATCAAAGATGTTTTTGTCCGAAATAAGTTTTTTTACTTCAAATGGTGTTTGCAGAGCTCAATACACTCCGTGGGAAGTCCGAATACGAAATAATATTATGCAAATATTCCAACTACGGACTGCAGTGAGAGTTCACTTTATTACCAACATTTACGCTCTTCCGGCTATTGCTAACATTTCTGTAGACTGTATAATACTTTAGGGACCTTCATAGTAACTTCACTATTCTAATTTCGTGCCACAATAAGTCCTCAGTGGTGCATCTAATGGCTTAATGCTCACTTTGAACGGACCTCCAACTTCAACGTCATTATCATACTCGGAAATACAATCGGAAACATAATCTACATGATGTCCGCGTCACAAGGCCTAAGTATAATGACGTCACAATGTTTGCACTCTTGCAGTTCCAACATCAGTTCAAGTTCAATGATTTGTGTGTAGTTTTTTATAGGTGTGGCTGCATTCGGTCTTTGTCTCGTTGTGAATGCTCGCTAGCGGGTACCAGGGGGCGCTGCGACACCGCCAGCTGTGTTCACGCCGGTCCGCAGTCGCGGTCCGTCAACGGGCGAAGTACCACGTGGTTACTCCACGTCCCGTAAATCAAAAAGTTTCTTACGTCAAATCAATGGATATAACCTAACACGCGCGTTTCGCAAATTTATTATAAGATGTGATTTATTTGTGTTGACGTCGTGATGGCCTGTTGATCACTTGTAATTGTGTGCAACAGTGACGTGCTGTGCTGTGCCAATGATGTGAATATTTTTTTCTGTGTTGTGTTGTATAAAAAAAGGAGTTATGAGTATCCAAAAGTGTTTGTTGGACAACTCCAGCAGGATGATAAAGGCGATGTCGACTGCTAAGTCGAGTACTAGCGAGGTGAAGATGGTACGTGTACTTTGTTACATTAGTTTGGCATAATAAGCGACCTTGTGATGAAAAGAAAGCTGGTTTTTAGGTTATTATTCAAGAAAACATTACACATTTCGTGCAAGTAAGTTCTTTATCGCAAAGTCATAGTTTATTGTGAGGCGACTACATGATGGGTTTGTGTTGTTTGGGTGTTTAATAAACTGTTGAACTTAATATAATGTTTCTAACTATATATATATATGTACATATACGTACTCAATTACAAGTTTATGTGTATTAAACTTACGTCACAACGAGAAACGTTTCCGCGGCTGCAGTGAATGCAGTATGGCATTATTTTAAAACAAAACACTGTAAAATTACAATAAAATCGCATCTAGTTCTTATGGTATGGGCAATAGAATATATTTTTCCACTTAAGTCATATTCTGGGGAATCTGATTAGAATTTATTAGCGTTATGACTATCTTGAAGTTCGTACTGAGACCATAAGATCAGCTGGCGGACTACGTTTATTTAAAAAGGGTTTCGGAACATTGACTATGTGATACAGACATTATTTAAAATCTATAAATAGGTTACAGGATACTTGATAGAATCATAAATGTTATTTTTAATTAATCTGCTTTATTAATATTGAAAGCTATTTTCCTCACTCACAATTCTAGTGATAATGGAACGGGATCCTTGAATCGTGGGACTTAATTAATTACGATTATAATTATAAATATCTGGCCTGTGAAACGTATGTGAAATGTGATCATATCTCTCAGTAACGGAAACATTTCGGTTCATAATTAAAATTGAATTAGTTTTTTGGCATAAAAATGATCTTACAATACTCTTTTTTACGGTAATATAATTTTAGATGTTTTTGGCAATGACACTTCGCTGACTTCTTATTACGAGTAGCCAGTTATGAAGAATTTTATGTTAATTATGGGTTCATAGTAGGTATTGTATGTATGTATTTTCAATAATTATGACTACTATGAAAATGTATATCATGTATCTAATGGGATATTTAGTGCTATTTACCAGTATTCAGGAAGGAAAGTAGTTGATTGACCAGTTTAGATTGCGTAGATTCTGTACCTATTCGGTTTTTTCAGTATATGAAGGTTTGGTCTATATTATATCTGAATTGTACAATTGTTATGCCCGAATACTGAAACGTTATTCCATTTTAAGTCGCGGTTAAGTATAGTTCTGTCGCATATATTCTTTTTAAAATAATAGAGATGGCACGATATTTATAAGTACATAAAATTGAGTACTTTTTCAGTATTCGAGTGTTAGTTACGTCATTCTCTAGTTAATTTGTTTTGTTTTTTTATCGTGTTAAGAATATAGTAAGCATTGTCGGTTGTCGTCTTCGGCCAGTCTCGACGAGCGCACTAGAGATGAATTTTAAAAATAACTACATAGTATGCCTATGTCTAAGTTTTATCTTCTAGAGTCAAATCTACTGACAAATTAAAACTCTCGTGATTCAAACTAAATTATTTTTATGTTTTCGGCTTACTCGCGTAACTGTTCTCGACTACTCGACTAGTTTCAAGTCATGCTAGAGGCTCATCTTCATGAGCAGCATTCCGTGACCCGCGACGCGGGTAAGCCGAAACCATAATAATTAATAGATACTAACAAATTATTAAAACTGGGTATGAGTTGATTTTTTGCATTTGTATCAATTTCAAACCTTTTATATTAGCTCTGGCTTTATAAGAGAATAATTTCAGTCTCTTCCTTAACTGAAATCTATTCTAATGGCCATTTCAGTACGGGGCTATAGACATTCAAATTCCAGTGGATTACTGGAGTGAGTGGAGTGAGCACACGTTTGCTAATATATCTTTTTACGGTTTTGGCTTTTCTTAATTAGTTATGGGTTTGGTGCTCACTCTAATTCGGATTTGAATTGTTACAAACAATAATTTATAAATAAGATTATTGATGAAATCTTCTTTAAACATCAAGTTTACGAATTTTATTTAAAATTGCTGCAACGCTAGGTCTAGGTCTTGGTCGATATATTTAAATGTATTTATGGGTTAGCCGCTACGTGTATGCGCCAGACATAGCCGCGACCGCACACGCTGCTCATGAGGAAGAACCCATCTGTGGCTCGAAACTAGTAGACCTTTTCTCAATATATTCTTAGTGAGTAACCCGCAATGTTTAGTTAATTTCGTATGTCTCACGATAGTTATTATAAAAAAAAAAATAGATTATTTTCAAGTTCGCTCGATGTAATAAGTTTATATAGGGATTTATTTTATGTAAGTCTATACTATCCGTTTTTCTATGTATTTCTGTTGAGTTTTAAATACGCTTGCTTCTTGCATCGACCATTGTTTTTGTCTCTGCATCACCCAAAGGTCTGGCTGGAGGAGAATGCCCTAGGCATTAAGCCCACCTTGTACATTAGTGTGTGCATGAAGTCTTTTTAAAATAAATAAATAAAAAAAAATAACTATCAGTTGTGCAATACAATTAAAAAAACGTAGTAAACTGTGTAAGGTAGTATGTGTCATGCATGTACCTCGTAAAATCAATAGCGTAACTACATATTAAGGTTCCGTGTATTGTTACTATTGATTTTGTAATGGAAAAACCCAATTACCAATGATTAATGACTTGTTGGTTGATCCTCTCTATCAATTCTGAAGTAGGGGCTTACTCTTGAATCCAATTCCGATCGAACGACATTGATATTGTAAAATTTCATAATCTTAAGTTGCAACACTAGCGCCCATTGCATTCGTATTGCGTGAATATTGAATGAACTGAATGGTATTGAGTTTGGTTTTATATTCCGTACTCCGAATGCTATTTTAACAGCTACGATAGGGTTATATAGTTTTGACTAGTAAGCGATGAGTTACGATTAGTTTCAAGAGTAAGCACCCAGATAGGTTTCAAACCTTTGAGTAAAGAGTAAACTCTTTTATAAAAGTTCAGTTACCTGTGACTCCTCTGGTGTTGCGGATGTCCATGGGCGGCGCTGATCGCTTACCATCAGGTGATCCATCTGCTAGTTTACCTCCTATTCCATAAAAAAAAGTTACACACTTGTTACTCTTAGGGTGTCCATGGATGGTGATATTTGCATCACTTTGAGAGTTTAATTTTTGTTCCTTTATTCTTAACGTGACGTCTTTTATCCCCGAAGGGGTAGGCAGAGGTGCATATTACGGCACTTTTTGACACTGTGTGTAACACCCGCTTTTCGCTACTTATGAGTTCCATGTAATAGGAGGTGAGCCTATTGCCATATACCGGGCAGAGTTCCAGACTCCGAGCTATAACTGAGTTTTTTTTAAATCCCAGTAATACTTTGCCCGACCCGGGATACGATGATACGAACCGTGATGCCATGTCTGGCAATCGCACTTGTGACCACTCGGTCAACGAGGCAGTCATCATAAAGAACTCTGATGAAAACCATAAATACGTCTTCGTCTAATAATATGTGTATACCCAATAGAGATGATGACAGGATATGAAACTTAAAAATCTAATTAGTCCGTCAGTTACGTAATAAAAAAATATTAGACACGTATTTTTTTATTTTGTTGTATAATAAAATGATACTTAGATATAACGAATCAAAGTTTAGGAGTGGGGGCTAAAACGTCATTTCTACGTATAAAATGTACATAGAAGTGACGTCACGCGACATTTCAAATCAATATATCGTCGAAAGTATTCGTTTCTGTAAAAAAATAAAAAATACGTGTGTAATATTTTAAAATAATCTACCAGACGGACTTTAAAATAAAAATTAGTCGTCTACCGTATTACTTAATATTATGTGTGTACATATATATGTACCTATATGTATTACACACATACACTTGTAGATTGTAATCTAACAATACTCATTGGTTATTGAAGTGCCGCCAATGTTATCTGGCCATGTATTGCTGTTAAACAAAATTATCTGTTTCACTAAAACTCTTTACTATACTTGATGTTTTGGACGCTAATATTTGAAATTTGACTAATTGCTTACATAGCTTAATTTGAAGGGATAGTCCCATTCGAGTTTTATGTAAAAAGGATCTATGACCTCGACGATGTTATTATTTTGTTAATGCTTGAGAGATAGAGTGTGACGTTGCTATAACTGTTCAGAAACGTAATCTATCTTAAACAGTAATCCATCAAAATCAGATTAGCGTTTCACGTGTGAAAGCGTAACAGAAAATTCACTTTCATTACTACGTTAAATATTTGCTAATTGGATACTTCATACTTGCCAACTAATCAAATTCAATACTTTTTTCGAACTGTCAAAAACGACAGTTTCCCATGAATTTTGTACGAGATTGTGCATTGTGACGTCACGTTTTTTTAGCGTCAAAAAGCATAGAAATCCCTTAAAATTTGCTGGAAAAATACTAAAATTAAGTTGGTCATCAGATCAATTAATGAAAGTGTGATTGTTTTTTGATATTTTATTATACTGAACAGTCGAAATAGTTTATTTTTGATTAAGGAAAGTACCCAATTAAGAAGTCCTAAATACAATCACAGCTTATGAGATAAGTAGTACAGACAGATATACATGATGCGGTAGAAACTTAGTAATTTTTTTTAAAGGGGGAAAATCATCGAATGACTGCTCCCGCCTGGGTGAGGCGGGAGGGAGTGTCAGGTTCTTACTGACTAAAAACCACCCCGTTCCTTCTCCTGCACGTCGGCCCGGAGCCCCGGTTACCCGTTAGGTTCTCCGCGACAGAAATTTAGTAATAAGGTTTCGTTTTTCTCTCTATAGGTACGGAACCCTAAAAATGAAGTCACCATTGTTAACATGTCGAATCCATCACTCATAGACGGGCTGGATGGATTCAGTCCATTTTTTGTTTCGTGTCAGAGCAAGGTATGAAAGATTTTTTACAAAATTTCATCGGGAAAGTTAGAAAATTGCAGATGTGGACACGTGCAAGGCTGTGGCTTATCGATAATTACTGTTAGAGTGCTGTATCCGCTAGGTGTATTTACTAGCA